GGCCGGAGCCGCTCGCTGCCCTCGCCTCTTGGCCGCAAAGCCCAGATTGAAGCGCGGGGGCGTAGCACGGGGCTCTCTGCCTCCTAATCCTGGCTGCTCCGCGCAGGCGGGAAACACGCGCGCACCGGTAACCGCGCCGCAGTGGATCAGACGACCTCCATGGGCCGACCCAGCACGTTCCCACTAACAGTTCCCAAATCAACACACAGACATCACCGCTTATCTACACACATTCCTACAACACAGGTTTCCAAATCCCCAGACCACTTCCCTCGCGCAACACAACCATATTTCCTCACGCCTACCCAATTGCCACACAATTTTCCACAGGTCCCACAACAAAAAACCTCCCATCACCCTAAAATTACCACACCATTTCCCACACAAAATCACCATATGGCTATACATGTTTCCACAAACTAACCAGTTTTCCACACAGAACTGTTGCCCAAACGGCTAGTTTCGTGTCCCCGGAGGCTTTTCTGATTGACCTCAAGGAGAGAGTCACACTCAAGCTGGGTCCATTTCAAATTTATTGTTTGCGCAAACAAGATCGACTAGGGGGCTAGTAGCCCAAAGCAGAGTCGACCCCCGGTCTTTGTCCGAGGGTCTTTTTATAGCTTATCTAAACAAAGAACCGTAGCGTGTTATGCAGTTATTGGCTATCCTATAGCGTCTACAAGCTTCTACTGTTTCGTCTAAGTTTCCGCAAGACGTCTAAATTTCCACAGGATGTTTTAGGTTTTCATGCTATGCTTAACTTAGTATGGGTTATGTTATAGCACCTGTGTGTTTTTAACAGGGGGATCTTTTATCTTATGTCTTCTATCTATGTGCAGAAGCTAATGTGGAAGCCATTTGCAAGCCATGTCGGATACAGAAGCATTTTGCAAAGAAAGCACTATGTCTAAATTCAATCATTATGTCTGACCTCTAATCGTATTTGTACCACAGAACTGTCATGACCCAAAAGGCATGATTTTGTGTGTGCTTCGGCACCAGAATTATCCCCGCCAAGTTGCAGAGCATTGCACGGGAGTGTTTCCTGTTGTAAGAGGAAACCCCAGTGCAGGGACGCGTTTCCCGCCTTTTCTGCAGCTTCTTTTGCAGGGTGCATTGCTCGAGTTGCGAGAGGAATGCACGGTGCAAAAGAGTTCCCACCACCGGTATGCAAATTTGTTCCCTGTGATTGGCTAGTGTTAAATTATTCACACGTGGCGGCTAACGATTGGCCTGTTAGCCGTATAAGAGGCTTGAGCGGTTTCTGCCCAAGCCGAAGAGGACTCCACATCCATCTCGTGGGGACTCTGGGTACACGGCAGGGTAATAAAAACCCTGTGTGAGATCCAGAGGAGCTTGGCGGCCTGATCCACCGCCCACCTCTTCCCATCTTCGAGCGTGACTTTTATAAGACGTATCTACGATTTCTATTTTGGTGGCTTGTTCACCCAGAGCATCCGGAGCTCTGCACCGTGGAGCCTAGCAACCTCCACGAGACCGTCTGTGTTGTCTGTCTGTAACCGCAACTCAATCAAGTTTTCCAGCCTGCACCGCTGCCATCTTGGTGTAAGTAAACAATCTTTAAAACTACCGATACGCATTTGTGCCTAATTCCAGCTCGACGGCCTTCCCTCTCCAACCCGGTGTGCCCGGGCTGCTGGCCACAGCCCGCGTGCAGCACGGAAAAGGGCTCGGGTCGCTCCCGGCCCGCACAAGAACCACCATATTTCCAAGGAAACGTGCTATATCATCATGTACAATTACCAGTTTCCCACAACAAAAATCACATTTCCACATATTTCCAGAAAAACATTCCCAAGCCACCAGAATTCTCCCAACGCAACCACATTTCCCCAAACATTTCCGCAAAAGCACATCCATATCACCACACACAATTACCAATGTCCCACCAAACCCCCCCCACCACAAAAACGTCTCAACTCACCACGAAGTTACCATATTTCCAAAAAAGGCCCTTTTTATCACCACGTACAGCTACCATTTTCCACAAAAAGCACATTTCCATTAAAAAGCTCCCAAATAAATCCCCACAGACTTCTCCCAATGTCACCATAATTCCCTCAAAATTTGCACAGAAACCCCCCCACATCACTGCACTAAATGCCTGACTTCCCACCCAGAAAATCACCACACTGCCAGAAAAAGGTCCCCAACCCACCACACAAAACGGGGATTTCCAAGCAGGCGCTGCAACGTGCCCACACAGCTCCACATACCGGCTCGCAGGCACATTTCCACACAGCCCCCGCAACCCCGCCGAGACCCCTGGGCCCTCCCGCGCTGCCACTGCCCCGGGTCCTGCCCCCGCCGCTGCAGAACGAGGCCAGGCATGACCGGGCCCTCACAAGAACGGCAACGAGCAGCGGGGCAAGGGGCAGGCGGTGTGAAGCAGCGTCCCGGCAGCACCAGCTCTGCAGTTCCTGCACTCAAGGAGGGAGCAGCCAGGCTGCAGCACCACGCGCGCAGATCAGATGAGAAATTGCAATAAAAATATCTTTTTCTGCAAGCTTTCGGGCTCATGCACCCGTCATCAGGCTCAGGGAAAGTTCAAGATGGTAAAAATGTCTCAGTTGGTCTAATAAAAGGTATCATTTTGGAACCAAGAGGTCTAGATTTTTGCATTTCTTTTTGTCTCAGACCAACACCACTATTACACAGATCCCTGAAACATGGACAATGCCAACTTTTAGACGATTTTGGATTATAAACTTCATTGCTGAACAACAAGAAAGATTTCTATACCTCCCTGCCTGCCATCTGACACCACCAGGGAAGAAATCCTGCTTGATCTACACAACAAAGAGTAAGCTCACAAATAGACTCTCATGGACCCAGAGGGACAGTTGTCCAGCTTCTGCTTCCTCTGTGTTAAAATGAAGTTTATTTCCTACATATAGGGACTTTTTACTATCTTGAACTTTCCCTGAGCCTGATGAAGGGCACATGAGCCCAAAAGCTTGCAGAAAAAGATTTTTTTTTGCAGTTTCTCAGTTGATCTAATAAAAGTTTGTCCTTTAGCACAGCTCAGTGCTGGCCTGAAACAAAGCCAGGATATGGCAGTTTCACCCGTGTGGGAAAGCAGCCTGACCCCTCTGGAAGGCCCAGTCCCAGCAACAGCGATCGGTCTACTGCTACTGGGGACTGTGATGGCATGAGTGCTGGGTGCCCACGAGTGCCCTTGCTTCCTGCTTCCTGGCACTGGTCTGACTCCTCGCACATGGGGGGGGCCTAAGGTTCAGAAACAGGGAGGAAGAACAGAGCATCCTGCTGGTTAGGTGGAGTCAAGTGGCATATTTATTAACAAAGCAGCATGATGCAGCAGCCTGGCTTCCTTGTGCCAGCTGGGTAGAATTGGCCGTGACTTCTGCACACACTGTGCAGCAGATCAGGCCTCAGGATGGCGCTGATCGCTGGCCAAGAGTTTGCGGGAGGCCAGCCATGAACACTTGCCAGACAGCTTTAACTGGGGGCATTGCGTCACAGCTAGGGGCGAGGGAGGGGGTGCCAACATCTCCCATCTCCCTGAAGGCACAGCAGGCTCTGCTGGAACAAAAACTGCTTGGGTGTGGGGCCCCAGCAGCCCTTGGCTCCCTGCAGCATAGGCACAGTTGGACCCCAATGGCCTCACAGCTGGAGTCCCTGAGTCAGAAGGGAGCTGACCTTTGGGGTAATGATCCTTCTAGGGAATGGTGCAGGGCTGGGGCTGTGAGCAGGGAATCAGAGGGTAGACACGTAGCAGGAAGGCTCCTTGTCTAGCTGGGAGGATGTGTTTAGTCCACAGGCAGGCCCTGAGCTTCCCTGTCTCTGAGGCAGCGAGGTTCCTGGCTGCAGCCAAGTGCAGTGGTGAGGCCCTGCCTGGAGCCAAGCCCAGCCTGCCTCATGGAGCATCCTTTGAGCCCAGAGCTTTCCATGGAGCTGGGGGAGGGTGGCTCCTATCCACATGCAGGGAGCCTGCTCCGAGGCACTGGAAATCCAACACATTGAGCAGACTCACTTAATCAAGTCTGCTGGAGCAGGAAAATTAATGCACTCCAGCAGACTCTAGTGTCACGTTAATCAGTGTCCCTGCGCTGGAAAATGGCAGCAGGATGCTTTGAACCAAAGCTCGTTCGATGAGCTTTAGTTCAAAGTGCCCTGCTGCCATTTTTCAGCACAGGGAGGCTGATACACGTGACACTTGGGCACTTTTAATTAGTGCAGCTTGTTAATTAAAGCAATTCCCCACCCCCCACTCCATGCCTCCCACAGCACATGTAAAAATGCCTGGGGTGACCAACCTCAATACTTCGCACTGTAGAACGGAAGCAGTCTCCCTTGCCCCAGGCATACTTATAAAGGCTCTGCTGTGTGTGAAATGCTCTCCTGAAGGCCCCCGCCAGCACTTGTGCTTTGGTTTTGTGAACAAGGCCTCCGCCTGGGGTGTTGGAACTGTAGGTTTGAGTCCTGTTCACTCTAAGTATTGCCCTGTATGAAGTGAACAAGGGGAGAACCTGAAGGAGACTTCTGAGCTTTCAGCTTGTGGCTTGATAGGAGAGGTCTTTGTTTATGATGCAGGAGACCTGCGTACAAGACCTGCCTCTGACCAAAAATCTATGTGAGGCCCAAACAGGAACGACGCATGCCCCCAGAGGCACAGTGACTGCCCGCAGGTGGTGTCAGCAGCGAGCGGGGAGCTCACAGCCGTGGCAGTGTGGGCCAAGTGGAGAGCTCCCACAGGTGGTGGCGGTGGTAACCACAAACAGAAGCTGCCAGCAGCATCCAGTGGCAATCTGGGACTGCCCACAGACGCTGTCGGTAGCGGGAGGGGTGGCGAGCGACAACCACCTGCCAGCAACGTCAACAGCGCTTTTCGCAGGGGGCACACCACCAATCTCAAGGGGTGCATATGCACCCCCTACCCGTCGCCAATGTTCAGGAGCACTCTGGACTCCCAGAGAGAAGGCAGCCTGACATCTAGCTGTTCCTGGAAGGCATGGTGAAACTGTAACCCAAGCACTGCTGTGCTCCCAGGACCCCTCTACCCTCTGGACGGAGCAGGACCTGTCCTTCCACCCCTCCTCCAATGGTGACGAGAAGTATCAGACACACATTTGAAAAGAGCACATTCTGTAATTTGCACTTCCCTGGTACCCTCCCGCCCAACAGCCTCAAGACATTCACAAACCATGGTGGGGCAATGCCAGCCCCTCCTTCTCCCCATCCCCGCTCTGGCCAGGGACCAGCCCCCCGGGTGCACAGAACACAGACCCACGCTCCCCCCAATCCCAGTTTCTACCCTTGCTCAGGCTCTCTGCCTGAACTGGAGTCACATTTCCCACAAGCAGCAGGGCTGCAGTGTCTTTGTAGTGCTGGGGGCACATGGGTTTCCCACAGAGCCAGCTGCACTTGACCAGGTTGCAGGGACCAGGGCAGGATTCTATTCCCTCCTGAGCAGCAGCTGGTCATGAGTGGTGGCAGCCAGGCATCAGCAGTAAACTGCTGATTCCCGGAGGGTGGTGTGGCGAAGCAAGACTCCCCTCAGTGTCTGGGAGCTGGCAGAGGTGATCTGAAAGACAAGAGCAGCATGTGGCTGGGGGGAGGCAGCCCCCCACTCCAGCCCCTTCTAGCACTACCGGCTGCAGGGAACCCATGGGGGTGCATGGGGAAGCCTTCCACCTTTGCTAGTCTCGGGTAGGATCATGACAGCAATCACCGTAGGGCTGCGGTCTGCTGGTAACCTGCAGTTAACGTGGGCCTAGGAGCCCCCAGCAAGGCAAGAGCACTGGGCAACGGTGGGGCTCCATGTTTCCAGCACAAGGCAGCAGCAGGAAGAGTTCCTAGCTGTGCCTGAAGTGCACAGCCATGCAGGTTGCCAGCCCAGCCCTGCCACAGCTTCCAGACCAACCCTCTCACCCAGGCCTTCCCCAGCACAGAGAACTCTGCGCACCCTCACCTTCACCAGCACGTAGTCACCTGGCTGAGCTCTGGCTGCAGCCCTGTCCTCCAGCTCACGGTTAGCAATTATCACCTTCATGTTGCCATCGTTGCGGCCGCTCAGCTCTGAGGCTGAGCGCTTGCTGGGCTGGGGGAGGATTGGGAGCATTATTGGGCAGCAGTAACTGACTTGCTGCTGGGCTTAGTGGCACGGGGAATTGAGCACGATGGGCTGTACTAACAGCCCCTGTGTCGTTAAGTGCTCCTGTTTGTGCTGTGCAGATGTCAGGGCTCAAGGGCCTGAGACACACCTCAGGGCAGGTCTCTCTCCCCCACACCCTTCGCTTCATAGGGACATCAACTCTTCAGTTCTTCCCTGCCCCTGCAAGTCCTGTTTGGGGGCCTTCCTTCACCTGTTGCATCCCTGGACTGGGGCAGGGTTCCAGGCCCCTAAGCAGAAATGGTTTCTGTTGGGTGCTTCCATGGGCTCAGCTCAGCCCCCTGGAAAATCAGCCCCGAGCCGTGCCCAAAAGAAGGAAATCACACTCCTGGGCACATGCATGCTGGCACAGGCAAGACAGTACCCTGAAAGCCCCGTGACCTAGGAGCTGCCAGGTTAGCAGGGGCAGCAGATGCCACATCCCACTTAGGCTGCACTCACCCCTTCCACCAGCACCAGCTGTGTGCAACCCACCAAGGCCCCATTGACCCTGGCTGCCTCCTCCCGGAAGACGGAGATGAGCTCCTTCAGCCGCTGGTGCTTCACCTCTGCCGGCACGTCGTCCTGCAGTCGGTGGTACGCCTGAGTTTTCTGCAACAACCAGCGGAATGAAAGCCCCTGTCAGGCTCAGTGCTGCACCCTGCCCCTGACAACTGGGCCTGGCTGCATGCCAGACAGGGAAAAACCCTCTGCAGGGCACGTGCAACAGTCCCAGTCCCTGAGAGGACTCTTTCCTCAACCAGTCGCACTCTTGCCATCCCCCCACCATGCTCCTGGAGCAGCCTCTTACTGCCTCTTTAAAAACCTTCTAAGTTGCTTAGTAGCTGGGGAGGCACCAGTCACCTTGAGCCTGGCTATGAACCACAGGTGCAAAATTTCCCACTGGCAAAGACAAACCCACCAGGAGTCAGGTCAGCAGAGACAGAGGAGCTCTAGGCTTGGCTCAGCTCCCTTTAGAAGGCAACTGCCCACACACTGGATCACCTGCCTGCAAGCACAACCCCCTCACCTGTACAGAGCACTTTGCAAGGGCCAGGCACCCCATGTGTGTATGTATGACCACTCCAGAGGGTGGCTGGACATGGCCTCATCCCATGGCTGTGTCCTGTCCTGTGAGGCTGTGCTACGTAACTGTACAGTCAAGGACACTAGACCCTGCGGGGCAGGAGCTTCCTCACTCACCACACACGCTGCCACATCCCTTTGGAGCGTCACACAGGGGATTCAATACCCTGTGATATCCCACCTGCTGGGGCAGGAAAAGTGTCCCTGTTGCAAGTCTTCTTAGAGCCCCTTAGAGCTGCAGGGTGTAGGGGCATGGAAAGGATATAGCAATACCCACAGACAGAACTCACCTGCCTCATGCTGTAGGCAAAGAGGAAGCCTACATTGTAGCCCACTTCCCGAAGCAGGGACAGCGTCTGCTGGTGGTCCTCTTCCGTCTCCCCACAGAAGCCCGCGATGAAATCACTGCTGAGGCTCACCCCTGTCAGAGGCATGGGGTGAGACTGGGAGGAGCAGAGGTCCTGCTTCCGGGGGACAGTCAAGGGGATTGATTTCCCAGCAGGACTCCTACACACAGCTCTCTCCCAGTCTGTAGTGGCAGGCTGGTCTGAGAGCATAAAGCACTTTAGCCACAAAGTGAGTGCCAGACAGGCCACAGCTGGCAGATCCCTTCAGGGGAAGATGGCGGGTTTCCACGCCTGCCCCTCCAACTACCAAAAACAACGGCCCAACACAGCCCTGAGCAGCAGGCCCACAGGTACGGCAGGAGCCGAGCAAGGGGAATATGTGCAGCAGTGCCTGGGCCACAGGCTCCTACCTGGGATGGAGTCCCGCACGTGGTGCACCAGCTCCAGGTAAGCTTCTCTGGTGTATCTGTGATGAAAGGCACGGGGTGGGCTGGTTAGACAGCTGAGGGGAGGGGACACAAGGGCAGCCAGGGAGCTGGGCCCAGATTGGAAGAGCAGCAAGCTGGTGAAGTGTGTTGCCTCCACTCAACAGAGCAGTTCCAGTCCAACTGCCCAAAAGGTTTGGCCCATGCTCTGCCAGGCACGTGGCAAGTTGAGGTCTCCCCTTCTAAAAAGCAGCTAAAAAGGCCTCCAGCAGGCAAGAAGCTCTTGGAAGTGTGATGCTGTCAGGAGCTGCAGAGGTGGACTCAGCCTCATCACAAGTCCACCGACCCCGCTGTCTGGACAGCAGCACTTGGCACAGCAGGAGGGGACAGCCGCCAGACTCACCCGCGCCGCATGGCCTGCAGGATGCGTGTGCTGCCGCTCTGCGCAGGGAGGTGCAACTGTTTGCAGATGTTGTGCCTTTCCTGGATGAGCTGCAGCACCTGCCCGTGGCACAGAGGAAGGGCTGTCACAGACTGGCCCAGCCACACACGGCTGCACCCTGGAGGAAAGGGGGCAGACTTCCCTGCAGAGGACAGCTGCAAGCACCCAGCAGGGCTTGCTCAAGGCAGAGGCTCTGCCAGATCAGGCTCCCCTCCCCTGGGGTTGCAGTGCCCTGGCAAGGAGACAGGCTCCCACGGAAAAACCGTGTTCCCGTGAGCTGAGCCAGCTGTGGGCTCTGCACACTCACCTCATCGGGGAAGTCCTTGGGGTGTGAGGAGGTGAAGCGGATGCGGATTTCAGGGTCAATGCGGGAGACCTGGTCCAGGAGGTGGGAGAAGCGCAGGCCTCCTGGCTTGGCCTTGTAGATGGTGCTGAAACCACGGCTCAGGCTGGGTGCAGCAGCCGAGCAGAACTGGACCTCAGAGGTGTCCCGGAAGCTGTTGACATTCTGGCCCAGCAGGGTCACCTCCTTCACCCCCTGCAGAGATGGACCAAGGGCATGTGAGGCACAGGGGGAGGCTCCCGCACCCAGCACATGACAGAGCCGGTGTTTGGGCACAGCCATGGCTCTGCACAGCTGCCCCTGGGGGAGATGCTTCCCAGTGGGGTAGAAGGGTTGGGCGGGGTGGAAGCCTGAGAGGGTAAAGCAGGGTAAAGCTGCCATCTGGCTGACACATCTGGGTTTCCTGGGCAGCCTAGCCTCCCCAGCCCACTTCCCAGAGGTGCCCAGCCCTCACAAGTGCCAGTGAGGGCACTAAGAGGAGACATGTAAATGCCTGGGCCCTTGCCCCTGCCCACTGCCCAGCAGGGAATGCTTGGCCGCGGGCAGGCTGGGAAAGACACAAAGATGCAGTGCTTTTCATTCCATCCAGGAAGAGCACACACCAACTGCTGAAGCTTCCTTAGCCCGACGAAGGGTTTTTGAACCCAAAAGCTTGCTTAATAACTATTCTCCAACCATTTGGGTTGGTCTAATAAAAGATATCAAATTCACCCAAGGAACCGTGCATTCAGCATCTAATTCTCATGGAGTTGCCCCAACCGGCAGGTCCCAGACCCCCTACAGGTGCAGGCAGCCCCAGTCTCTCACTGCCTGGGCTTCTGAAAAGGTAGGGCTTCCAGCAAGAGGGAGCATCACCACCTTCCTCTTTTCCCCAGAACCAGCTCCTGAGGAGTCTCCCTGTGTCCATGCAGGTGTTCCTGGGTCCCTAGAGAGATGCCCCTGCCTGCCAACCTTTTGCACTGAACCCCTAGCTGCCACATCTGTGCATCACCCTATCCAGCGGCCTGTTTAGGGTGCCTCCCGGGACAGCAGAAACCAGGACAGCACCACAAAGCAAAGGAGCCTGCAGAAACCTATACCCAGAGCAGCCCTGCAAGAGGCAATCCTCTGGCCTGTCACCTGATCCGACAGCATTTTCACTTCCTGCAGGATGGAGGCAATGGGCCTGCTCCTCTCACGGCCACGGGTGAAGGGGACGATGCAGTAGCTGCACATGTTGTCGCAGCCTCGCATGACGGAGCTGTGCAGGGGAAAGGGCAACAATCAGAGCCCAAGGAGCCGCCTGCCACCCACCCTGCCCCTGTTCACACTGGCCTGGTGCCCTGTGCACACAGGTCCCACTGACTCTGGGCTGGGCCGTGCCATGTGGGAGATGCATGTTCCCTCCATCTGCCAGCACAATGTCATGGCTGTTCACAGAGTCATAGGAAAACGAGGCTTCAAGGGCCCTTGAGGGATCATCTGGTCCTAGCCCCTGCTCTGGGATCCTGTGGCCCAGTCCACGCACTCAGTGCTCCGCTTTTATGCAGTGACACAGGTTGGGACCAAGCAGGCTTTCCCCATGTCACCCTCTGCCCCTGGCTGAGAGATGGATCAGGGGCCTGGAGCCTTACCAAAGACATGGAGGAAACAAACAAGCCTGGGCTCTTACACAAATGCGGAGGTAGCATTCAGGCTGGTCTGGACAGGCAGGACATCGGCATCCACCGCCAGCAGACGGGGAAGGTCTCTGTAGGCGTCAGGGCCTGCCACGATGTCCACCAGCCTCTCCTGGTGCAGGATCTTCTCCTTCAGCCTCTCAGCCATGCAGCCTGAGGCCAGGAAACATGCAGCATCAGAGAGGGGCTCATCCATGGCCACAAGCCCTGCGTGCACATGCCAGCCACCACTGTGCTCTCCCTCCTCAGAAAGGGCTTTATGCCCCAGGGAAACCAGCATTGTGGGGCAAAGCAAACGGGCCTCTCATCAGCACAGGCGACCCCACCCCTGCCCTGACTCCGCAGTCACACTCAGACCCCATGTGGTACCAAGGATGCCAATTCGGAGGGGAGCCTGTGTCCGGCGCCGCTTGGATTTCAGAGCCTTTAGTTGCTGCAGGCGGTTCCAGATGGCCTGCTCGGCCTTCTCCCTAGGAGCCACAAGACCCTGGGTTACCACCTTGGCACTGTCCCAGCATCTGAGGGGCAGGGAAGCAGGTTTCCCTCCCTGTCTCCAACAAGGCCCGCAGAACCAAAGCAACACGCTTAAGTGTTGGAGGAAGATATGGCCAGTCTCCCTGCTGGGGACCTTGGCCTTCCACTCTGAAACACTTTCTTCCTGTCCTGGGGAGTGGAACGGTCTCGTGGCTGACAAGGACATTCTGCAGCAGGCCAAGAAACGTGGCAGAAGTGCCCACTTGCCCTGCGAGCAAACTGCATCCCACAACAGAGGAGGAGACAACAAGAACAGTCAGCATTGGAAGAAGCATTGAGGCCGTTTCAGTTGTAACAAGAAAGCTGCTGCTTCTCTCTTTTCTTGTGTGCGTGTGACACTTCTCTAGGTGTCTGCTGGGTTTATTTATGGCCTGTGCTGCCGCAGGGAGCGGGCTCATCTAAGCCCAGAGCCGACAGGGCAATGCCAGAGTAGATCTGCACGCGCTACAGCCAGTCTAGCCCACCACACTCCCCCCACAGCACACTCAGATGTCACCTCCCCAAGAGTCCCAGGGGAGCTCCAGAACGTAACAGCAATTCTGAAGTGCATGGCACTTACCTGATGGAACAGGTGACGAGGAGAATGACATCTGCCTAATTAGGGAAGACAGAGGGGAGAGGCTTCAGAAGCCAAACAAAGCAGAGAAGCAGGAGGACTCCCTGCATTGGCATGGAAGGAGGTGTCACTAGCATGCAGGCAGCCAGTTCAGTCTGCACGTGCGTGCACACAAACACCTTGCCCCTCCAAGACCCCAGAGAGAGAATGGAGAGAAAAGAGCCCCACATCCTCAACGGAAGGGACAAATGCATTGAGTTAAAGCCTGGCCACAAGCTCCCTCCAGCCACTAATGACAGACACCATCATTAAGAAAGAAAAACAAGATGTGCCCACAGATTGTGTCAGTTTTAGATGCTGTCCAGGGCTTGGGTTTGCAAGGAGCTGGCAAGCAGAACAACCCCACTACACTGCCCTGGTGACAGCCCCCACACAGGGTGAGGGCAGCAGCCCTACCTCCTCCAAGCTCTTGGTCCTCAGATAGCCATTCTTCTGGAGGATGGCCCAGGCGATGTCTGTGTCATTCACGTTCATTTGGCAGCCGTAGGTCTCCAGGTACACTACAACCAGACAGCAGGTTATCAGGCTGAACAGGGCAAGGAACATACTAGGGGGCTCTTTCCCAGGAAGGGGATGCAAGCACTGGTGTACTACGCCTGTCTTGCACTCAGGGCTGACTTGAGCATCTCGCTCCCAAGCTGCCTTCATCTCAGCACATGAGCTGCCTGGCTTGAGGGACAGACCAGGAGCTCACTTCTATGCCTGCCCAGGGCGCTGCCCAGCCCTAGCATTTCCTCCAGGTGGCCCAGCCCAGCCCAGCCCCAACCCCAACCCTGTGACTCTCCATTGCCAGGACCTGAAGCACCCGTACTATGACCGTGAGGAGACCAGACTCTCCCACAACTCCTGCATGTCACAACACCCGGGAGGTGAGGGCACGTGGAGAAGAGACTGAGACCACTGCCGAGAGAGGGGCAGGCAGGACAGGAACACAAACCTTTCCTCCCTGCCTCTGGGAGGGTGCTGGGCACCAGATACGGCACCGGCTCCTCCAGCCCTTCTGTCAGCTCACACGGAGGCTCCTGAGGCGGGGAGGCAGCTCTTAAGAACTGCTGCAGCGTCGGCCCTGCTGCCAGCTTGGCGCTCAGCTTCTCCAGGCCCTGCTTCTTCCCGGGCTGGGCACCAGCGGAAGAGCCTGCCCTGACCTCCATGCGCATTGCCCAGGACGCGGGCCACCAGGTCATCCCGGCACTGCCCAACGCGCGCTTCAAGGGCTGCAGCATCCCGGCAGAGCCCAGACAACCTACAACACACCAGAGCCATGCTTGCAGCAGCCAGTCCTCCTCTACCGCAAAGAGACGCTTCACAAGGCCCAGGGCCTTCCACCCTCCCAGTAAACACGGGGCATGCCCCGGTCCGGGGTTTGACTCTGCCAAGGCCAGGTGCCCGCACCTCCCCGTGCCTCTGCTGGCAGAACCGGGGCGGCAGCGACCCACAGAGCAGGACCTGGCACGAGCTCTCGTCGCAGGCGGGGCTCACCGAGCCAGGGCCGAGTCCCTCACAGGGCAGACCCGGCACGGCACGGCAGCGCCACGGAGCCCAGGCCGCGCCCCCACCCGCTGGGGCAGAGCCAGCCCGACCTCGCTCCG